GGAAACAGAAACTCCTGTTCCGCGCGGGGTTTCTGTTTCCTGTAACCGGCCGGACTGACAGGAAGTGCACACTCAGTGTGCCCCTTCCTATCACTCCGGCCGGCCGGCCACCGCGGACCGGAGTGCAGCTCGGCCACGCTACAGGGGAGAAACTGCAGCCGCCTGAGGCTCTTCACAGAGCGCTCAGGCGGCTGCAGTATTTAAAGGGCCGGCCCCAGGTGCCGACGGCCCACCGGGAAATTTCCCGGTATCCCGGTGGGCCAGTCCGGCCCTGCCTTTAGGAAATAAGCTGCCACTGGGGAGAGGTGTTAACTGGCTCCTCTCCCTGATACGCTCTCCGATGTTGGAGAGGGGGACCGACTGTCTCCCCTTCCTGTAATACACTCTGCCACTGGGGAGAGAGGGTGCTGTGCTCCTCTCCCTGAAACACAGGCTGCCGCTGGAGAGGGAGACCGACTGTCTCCACTCCCGTAACATTGTCCTGCTGCTGGGGAGAGAGACCAACTGTCTCCACTCCCTGTAGGACACACTGCTGCTGGGGGGGAAGGAAGACACCTTCGGCCTCCTGGAACTCACACTGCCGCTGGGGAGGAAGGACGGCATCTTCGGCTCCCTGGAACTCACACTGCCGCTGGGGAGGAAGGACGGCACCTTCGGCTCCCTGGAACTCACACTGCCACTGGGGAGGAAGGACAACACCTTCGGCTCCCTGGAACTCACACTTCCGCTGGGGAGGAAGGACGGCACCTTCGGCTTCCTGGAACTCACACTGCCGCTGGGGAGGAAGGACGACACCTTCACCTTCCTAGGCCGCACACTGCCGCTAGGGAGAGAGACTGGTTGTCCCCTCTCCCTAGAACTCACACTGTCGCTGGGGAGGGAGGTCGATGCTCTCCGCTCCCTGACACTCACTCTGGGGTTGGGGATCTGGGCCGACTGCCCAGCATCCCTGTAGGGCCAGTAGAGAGACCTCGGTCCCATTTCTACCTGCTGGCTGGGGTTCCTCCCAGTAAACCTCTACGATATCCTTCCAGCTGAAGGGCTCTAGACCTGGTTCTGCTACCCAGTTCTCTAGCTCTGCTTGCAGGGTAGACTGGGGCTGAATGGCACAGAGCAGGCATTGGTAGGCCTGCTCTAGTTCCCACTCCATGGTTGCCAGGTGCATCATGTCTGGTTTCACCGCACAGTCGACAGGCCAATCGTGTCAAGGATGTCCCAAAACCGGAAATCATCTGTGCTGCTGAAATGAGGCTCCTCCTCCATGGCTTCCAGTAGTAGACCAGGACCATCGTATTTGTCCCCCTCAGGCCTATCGGGCTCCTCCATCTCGGTGGTATGCTGCACCAGAGGGCCTGGTAGGCTTCCTCCAGCCAAATCTCCTTCCATACCAGTCTCTTGAGCTCTGTTACCCACTCGTCCAGGGGCTGCTATCCTAGGAAAGACATTCGTAGAGCCACTTGCCTCTCTTGCCGCTGCTCTTCACTGGGAAGCCTCTCACCTCGCTGACGCTGCACATCCTCCAGGGCTTCGTCCCAACGTTCCTTTCTGGCCGCCTTCCAGTAGTCCATCATGGCCTCCTCTGATATAGGCCCATCTCCAGCAATCTCCTGCAATCTCCAGTGGAACTCTTCCTCCATATTGCTGAAGATAGGGACGCTG